CCGGCTTTTCTTTCAATGCTTTGCGCAGCCACGGATTTCACCAGCTCCCGGGTGGAAACCGAAGGATCTTTGCAGCAGTCTCTCCCCCTCCCTCTCTCCCTTCCTTCCTTCCTTCCCTCCCACCCTCTCTCCGACTTCCAACCCCGCCGAGCCCCGGCGCTCCCCGCCAGGCGCCGGGGCATCTCCGCGCCCGCCCTCCATGGGCGCCGCGCTCGCCTGCAGCCTCCGCCGGCGCGGGTCGCGCGCGATGCCGCTATGCCCCTGATCTGGCTCCTGCTGCTCAGCCTGCTGGAGCCCGGCTGGCCCGCGGCGGGCACCGGAGCGCGGCTGCGGCGCGATTCGAGTGGCCGCGGCGGCGTCTATGAACACCTCGGCGGGGCGCCCCGGCGCCGCAAGCTCTACTGCGCCACCAAGTACCACCTGCAGCTGCACCCGAGTGGCCGCGTCAACGGCAGCCTGGAGGACAGCGCCTACAGTGAGTGCCCGGCCTGGCGCTGCAGCCGGTCCCGCGGGTGGGAGCGGTGCCCTGGAGGTGCCCAGGCCCCACGGAGGGGACCGCGCGCCCAGGATGCCCTAGGGTCCCCAGCTGCGCCTGGGGTCGCCGCGTCTCCCTCCTTGTCCGGGACAAGAGCGCGCTGGGGTCCGAGGGAAGCGAACTCATGTCCAGAGGGCCCGGAGGCTGCTTGCCTTTGGCGCGGAGCGCAAGGGGAGCGCGAGGGGTGGTCCCGACTTCCGCTGGGGCTGCGTCCCGGGGCGCTGACAAGTGCGAGCCCTTTGAGTTTGCCGGAGAAAAGGCGTCGGACAAGGCATTCATCATCCTCTTTATTATTTTGACGACTTCTCCTCCTCCTGGCGACCCCGGGGTGCACCCCCATGCCCTCTGCCTGCGTCCCTCGCGGCCGCCCAGGTGGCGGCCAACCGGGCTGCCTCTACGTGAAGGACCCGCGCCCCGGGAGAGCTGGGCTCCCGAGACGCGGCCGCCACCGACAGAAAAACGACAGACAGGCAGGCATCTCCCCAGAGTGGGCATCTGTCCCGCTTCCGCTCTCGGCTGCAGAGCCACAGGCAGGGTCGGCGCCCCTGCCGCGGGGTGGGGGGACCGCGTGATGCGCGGCAGGAGCGCGAAGGTGCGTTCGCCCCGGTCTGGCGGCGCGGAAACACCCAACCCTACAGCCAGCACCCGCAGCCCGGCTGCGTGTGGCGGAGTCCCGCGAGGCTCCAGGCTTTGGCTCCTCCAGCCGGGCGGGGACTCAGCCTCCCGGCCACACTGTGCCCTCTAGGCGGGCTCTGGGCTCGGAGCGTACTGCCTGGGGCCCCGGAAACAGGCCTGCTCGGTGGGAGCAGGAGGGCTGGAAGGAGTCGGGATGGGGGTCTCGGGAGTGAGGCCAGAGCTGCCGCGGTCCTCCGCTGCGACGTGCAGGGCTCCAGGGGTAAGAAGAGCGCGGCAAGTTCAAGAAACTGCGCGGAACCATAGCTTCCTGGAATAAAGACGCAGCCCTGTCTGGGCGTGAGCCGGGGACGCCCCGGAGTTGCGCGGAACTAGTTGTTGCCTGAGGGTCCTTTCGCAAGGGGCGAGTTAGCTCCACATGGGCAAGTCCTCCCTCTCCAAATCCAGGCTCCCACTCCGAGTACCAAACGCCTCGGGGCAACCAGGGTAGACTACAGGGAAGTGGAGGGAGGGAGAAAGACTGTCACCACCCTTGTCCTGCAACCAGACCTGCTCTTTCCCGGGCCAGTGTCGGGAGTTCACCTGTCCGCCTCAGAGAGACCTGCAGTTTTCACCCCTCGCAGGCTGGGAAATGTGATTCTGCACTTCTGCCCCTCAATTGAGGCGGCAGTGGACGCCAGGAACTAGCTCTGGAGAGGCCCCCCCTCAGAGAGAGCCGGCCTGACATCCCCAATTCCTTCTGAGCCACTCTCCTGGGACAATGGTCCCGCCCGGCCTTTGTTGCCAATCCCAGAGAATAGCTCTCTGTTTCCAGAAGGAAAGACGTTAGGTGGGATTGAAAGGTTCTTACATACAGTGGGGAGTGGGCGAGCCCTGCCCAGCTCCAGGTGGGCCCTTCCTTCTGTGAGCTTGGGATCTAATCCAACTTCCAGACCCACAGGGATTCCCCCCGCCAGGAGGGTGGTCCCCGCCTGAGTCCAGCGCCGGATGCATTTGAGTGGTGACCTGGTGGCTGGTATCATCAAATGGCCTGACTTCTCTCTCCACCTGGGACCCCAGGTGCAACAGGGTCATTTCCAGGCTCAGGCTGCAGTATCTGCAGCCCGTCCAAATGCCAGCCCCAGCTCGGTGCTGGTGGCCTTGGGGTCTTGGGCACGTCCCTTCACCCCGGTGGTTTCAGCTTCCTTGTCTGTCACATCAGACTGCTTCGTGGGTCGTCGAGACGCTGGGAGGAGCTATCAGGCTCACAAAGCCACTGTGCCTGGTACAGGCTCGGCCCCTATAAAACCAAACCCCCAACGCGGAGTCGATTCCCACTCATAGCAATCCTAGAGGACAGGGTAGAAGTGCCCTATAAAGTTTCCAAGGCTGTCATCTTTACAGAAGCAGGCTGCCTCATCTTTCTCCTGAGGAGTGGCTAGTGGGTTCGAACTGCTGGCCTTTCAGTTAGCAGCCAAATGCCTTAACCACTGTGCCCCTGTAAATATTAGTATTGCTTCCCTGTTGGGTCTGGATTCTTCTCTTCCCTCCGCTGAACTTCCAAAGCCACCTCCCCTTCTCCCTTCTTGCTGGCTGTGTGCTACCCTCACCACCCCTCAAATGTGGGTGCAGCTGGGGGACCAGCAAGAAGTGCTCTGTGACCCTGTGGGAGGGAAGGGAATGACGGACCTCCCCACCTCTTTTCAGGTATTCTGGAGATAACAGCCGTGGAGGTGGGCATTGTGGCCATCAAGGGGCTCTTCTCCGGGCGGTATCTGGCCATGAACAAGAGGGGACGCCTCTACGCCTCGGTGAGTCCAGCCCCTGGTGCAGGCAGACACTGGTGGAGTGGGCTCACAGCAGGGGACAGAATGGAGGGGCCCTGGGCAGCCAGTGCTCTGCCCAGGGCTGTGCAGAGCTGAGCTGGAACCAGAACTCCAGCCCCTGTGACTTATGTGCAAGTGCTCTTTCCGGCTGCTTCTGTGAGAGGCGGCTGCCAGGTTGACCCAGGTGGGGCACAGCCCTCAGGGAAGGTTACACTGGGCGGACAACAAGCCCTGTGCTCTCAAATGCTGCCAGGCTAGGTCCCCGATATCTCGTTGTCATCCTCCTTGCCCTTCCCTGCAGGATGCTGAGAGCAGGGGGAGAAGGACTGTCAAGCAAATTTCCAATTTAACTGGGTCAAGGAGCTTTGGGGTGAAAAGAAGGTATTGGTTGAAACTCTGCCTTCAGATCAGCCAAGGGGAGAGGGCAGGGCAGCCAGGGAGGAGCTGGGGGAGGGGAGATGGGACCAGTGTCCCAGGCACATGGCAGCTCACACCAGGGTCTAGAGCCCAGTCCGGGCCTCCGAGTGACAAAAATGGTCTCATGACTCATGGGTGTTGGCTGTGTCCCCCTCCAAGGGCTGGGGTGGGGATACATAGAGTAAAATACACGTAACTGGGACATTTGCTATCTCCAACTAGTCATTACGTGCAATTCAGCTGATACCTCTTTGGGCAGTAAGAGGTTTTCCATCCACGTAACCTGGACGCCGCCGCCTTGGACCATCTCCTGGCAGTTACTGCTCTCTGTTTAGTCACATTTGTGGGGAGGGGAAACAGCCAATTTCCCTGCCCTCTTTGAAGTCAGGCTGTGTGTGCTCCAGAAGGGTAAGACCCTCCTTGAAGGCCACAATTCCCTCGCAGGTCTGGCTGTTTGGCTACAGGAAACGCTGGGTTGGAATGCGCCATTTGTTTTCTCAGCCTGGGGGCCTCCTGTCAGAAGCTTTGTCCGGGGACAGGGACCTGGTCCTTGTGCATGTGCTTCCAGAGTCTCTAGACCCCACTTGTGGTTTATAAAGAAACACCCTTTGTCTGGACTCGGGTCTGCATTTGTCTTGAGGAGCAATGTGGCTCTCCAGGCCACTGGGACCCTTTGACCTAGCACAGGCAGAGAGGAATTGACTTTTTATTCTTTAAATGGCCACCCTCAAGATGTTCTTATCCCTTAGGGAAAGGAGAGTCACTCACCCATCCACCCACCCAACCATCCATCCATTCATCCACTCACCGTCCATCCATCCACACACCTATCCATCCATCCATCCATCCATTCACCCACCCACCCACCCATCCATCTATCCATCCACCCATCATCTGGTGAGGGGTCTGCTTGGCCATCAGTGATGAACTGATCACTGAAGCACCTTTCTGTCCCCACCAGAGAAATTCATAGAAAGGACCAGGGAGGGCTGACTTGGGCAGGGAAGCCACATCTTCCCATGGAGAGCCCAGACCCAGCACTTTGGGAGACATGACCATGACCTGAGGATATTGATAGGCCAGGGTCCACCTAGGGCCTCCTTTGCTTACAGCTGACCAGCTTGGCTTTGGGTGAGGAGTGGGAGAGGCCCCCAGCCTCACCAGGGGATGATAAGGCCAGGAGAAATTCTTTAAAGCAACCAGTAGGGAAGGTCCCACTGCCTTGCAGGTGAGCTGGGAGGTGTCATTCCTGTCACTTGCTGCCTGGGTCCCACATCCTGTGCTCCCATCAGTCTCCTCTTGGCCATCTGAGTTCCCCAGGCTTTGCTTCTACCCTGCTCCCAGGCCAGCTCGTCTATGCCCCAGAGTCAGTCATCATCACACACCGACAACTCCCAGACTCCAGCCCTGACTTCCTTTTGGAGCCTTAGTGAACCTCATGAAAGGCTGAGTGGTCCAGAGACCTCAGGCAGAGAGCAGCACATCTCAGAAGCTCCCCTGTCCTCACCTAAATTACTACCCTGCCAGCCACTACTCAAGCCCAGGTTCAGCTAGGTGACATGGAGACACCTTCTTCCTTCTTGTCAATCCATCTCCAAGCCCTTGGACTCTACTTCCTGAATCTCTCCAATGCACATTCCTCACTACCCTCTACATTATGCTTTCTCACCTCTCCCATTGCAACAGCTTTGGGACTGGACTGCAGGCCTCCAACCTCTCCCTCCTCTAGTCTATCCACCCATTCCCCTACCTATCCATTGTTCTTTCTATACAACCACCAATCTATGCATCCACCCATCATCCACTCACCTGTCCATCTACCTATCCATTCATGCATCTGTGCATCCATGCATGCCTCCATCCATCCATCAACTCCTCCATCCATCCATCCATCATCCACCCATCCATCCTTCTGTCTGTCCATCCATCCATCCATCCATCCATGTCATCTATCCATGTCATCTATCCATGTGCTTTCTACCCATGTATCCATCCAACCATTATCCACTCATCCATCCATCCATCATCCTCCTATCCATCCTTCTATCTGTCCATCCATCCATCCATCCATCCATCCATAAGTCATCCATCCATGTGCTTTTATACCAATGTATCCATTCAACCATTATCCACTTGTCCATCTATCTGTCTACCACGTATCCATCCATCAATCATTCACTCACCCACCCATCCATCATCCATCCACCATCCATCCATCATTCACTGTTCATCCGTCTGTCCACCCATGCATCCATCCATCATCCATCCATCATCCATCATCCATCACTCATCCATCCATCCATCAACCATCCATCTTCCGACCCATCAGGCATTTATTCCTTCATCCTCGGCACTTATCACATGCCACACTATGATTAGTACCTGCCAAGGGGTCTTCTTAAATGTGAATCCTATCACATCCTGGCCTCTGGGAACTCCCCATCCATAATTCATAAATTATTGCCCGGGTGCCTTCAGTCAGCCCGTACGGGAGTCGGTACAAGCCACCTTCTGCTCCCACCTCCTCCCGTCATTCCTCTACTCATGCTCCAACCCCAGGCCCAACTCCTGAAGTTCTCCAAACTAGTCATACTGCTCACTGTTCCATGTCTTTGCTCATACTGTCACTGCCTGAAATGTTCCTGTCCCCAAAGTGCCCACCTAAGAAAAGCCCACCATCCCTCCAAAGGTCAACTCTTTGGGAAAAGTGCCTCTGCTTCCTCTTCACCCCTCCATCCCCACTGCCCCCCGTGGCCCTCCAGAGCCTGGTCCCTGCCCAGCAGCCCAGTGCGCCCAGGCTGGCTTTCCCAGAGAGCTCCAGGTGCTAGGGAAGCCTGAGGAGGAGACAAATGGAGCCTAGTGTGGGCGTGTCTTGGGGAGGGAGTTCTGTGAACAGAAGGTCTAGGTGGGACAGTGGGGGGTGGATCAGGCATTGAGAGCATTGTCAGGGGAGTGTCCATTGGTGGTGCCCAGCCCTTAGCTGACACCATCCTCCCTGGTCATCTTGGCCACCCCAGGTTCCCTTGTAAGGTACAAGCAGGTGCTGTGGCTGCCCCCGCCCAGCAGGCCTCCTGTAGGAGGGCCTAGACCCCTTACCCTTTGAAGAGCATAGGTCTGTGTCCCTCAATCACCCCACAAGTGTCCCTGCCAATAGAAAACCCCTCTTTCCACTTCCCTGGTCCATGGGCCTCTGCTCAAGGGCTCTGGGACTGAGGGACCTGGGAGGGCCCGGGATTGGAGGACCCCTCACAGTCCAGTGTAAGAGCTAGATCTTAATGGGGCTTGTGGGAGGAGGGGGGTAATGCCTGGGGGAGGGGTGGGGCTGGCAAAGGCCATAACAGCACCACACCCCCACTCCTCCTGTGACTCGGGGCTTCCCTTTCTGGGCCTCAGTGTCCCCATCTCTAAAGCAAGGAGGTTGGTCTTGGGCAGGGGTGTGCATACAGGGTTCCTGATGGTGGGAGAGCAGGGGAGAGGCCGAAGTGATGGCAAGATGCAGCCCCATCCCTCCCCTGGAAGATCAGCCCTGCCCTTACCTGCTCTGGGCAGCCTCCCAAGTTTCATAAAAAGGCTTTGCTTCTCCCTGGGTTGCTTCCGGGTCAGATGCTTCCCAGCTCGGGGGTCTGGGCCAGCCTGCCTGTGGCCTCTGAGGAATGTCCCTCAGTCCTTTGGACCTCCTCCACTCTGCAGCCATATCCCTTACCTGGGGACACTCCCACTGGACTGAGACAGGCCACTGGGTCCCCTACTTGTGACAAACCCCAGAAGGGAAAGAGAGGCCCCCCTGGCTGCCTGTCTCTGACCCCCAGGCCAGGCCAGTCAGGTTGGTAGTGGTCAGAGTCAGCCTGGGCTCTCAGCTCTGGGAGGGCTGGCCTTCCAGGAGGCACGCTACCTGGTCAGGTGACCCTTGGAATTCTCACTGCTTCCAACAGGTACTGAAGCTCCAACTGGGTTGGCATAAGGCATGCCCACCCCTCCACACCCCAGGCTGCAGGCCCAAGGGGGGCCCTGAGGAAGCAGCCCTGGGGACAATGTCTTCTTTCAGTTTACTCTGCCCCACTCCAGGGGCCCACCTGTTGCCTTCCCATCCTCACTCTAGCAGGGTCCCCACTGATCCCCACTGAAAACATGAATTCCCACCATACCCCAGCATGTGTTGGGACACCCCACTCAGCATTTGTCCTGTAAACCCACACGTCTGTGGCACACATTGAATGTGGACTCTGTGTTGGTTCCTGCTCCGTGTGTGTGTCGTCTGGTCCCCGATGGGTGAGACTGGTGTCCCCAGCCCCTGAGCTCAGAGCTCCAGGGCCAGAGCTGTCCAGAGAACCTGGGCCCTAGAGCCCCTTCCTCTTCTCGTGGTGTCTCCTTTTCTTTACCTCAATTTCTTCTTCTATTCTCTCTCGGTTCTGAAGGCCAGGAGTCTGAAATCAAGCTGTGGGTGGGGCCGCGCTCCCTCTGCAGCCTGTAGGGGCCTTCCGCACCTCTTCTGGCTTCTGCCAGCATTCCTTGGCTGGTGGCCACATCACTCCAATCTCTGCCTCTGTCCTCCCATGGCCGACTCTGTGCGCGTCTGTCTTGTCTTCACCTTGTATCCTTCCCTGTGTCTCCGGGTCTCTTCTTTGTACGGATACCAGTCATATTGGATTTAGTCCATGCAAATCCAGTGTGACCTCAACTAGTCTGCAAAGACCCTACTTCCTAACAAGGTCCCATTTCCAGGGATGGGAGGTCAGGACCTGAACACACCTTTTGGGGGACGGATTCATAATACAGAGGAAGTGACCCTTGAACTGAACCCTGGAGACCAAGTGCACCATGGAGGAAGGCTGCCGGACACGCATGTGTGTGTGTGTGTGTGTGCACATGTGTGCCCTGAGAGGCATGGAGGGCGACAATGAACAGTATGCGGCTGGTGTAAGGGGCTGGGCTTGACAGAAGCAGGGGTGGCCTGGGAGGTGCTGCGGGAGCTAGCCTCCTCGCCATTGTCATTCCCCCCGTGTGGCCAGGCTGGCCCCTGACCACAGTGTCTCGCCCCGCAGGAGAGCTACAATGCCGAGTGTGAGTTTGTGGAACGGATCCACGAGCTGGGCTACAACACCTACGCTTCCCGGCTGTACCGCACAGTGCCCAGCGGGCCTGGCGCCCGGCGCCAGCCCAGCACAGCCGAGAGACTGTGGTACGTGTCTGTGAACGGTAAGGGGCGGCCTCGCCGTGGCTTCAAGACACGCCGCACCCAGAAGTCCTCTCTGTTCCTGCCGCGCGTGCTGGACCACAAGGACCACGAGATGGTGCGGCACCTGCAGGGTGGCGCTGGGCTCCGGGGCAGCCCGGCCCGGCCGCTGGTCAGAGGCCCGCAGCCTCGACGGAGGCGGCGGCCACGGAGGCAGCAGGGCCAGGGAGCCCATGCTTAGCCCCCAGGCATGGGGAAAGCGTGACAGCGCGATTCTCTCGTGTCTTCTGGTCCCAGCCTGGGCTCAGTCACGGACACTGGGCTCCAAGGTGGAGACTGAGCCTGGCCATCTCAGCCCGCAGCTGACCTGAGGAATTTCCTAAGGGGCCCTCTTCCCCTGCACCGCTGCCCCTGTTTTCTGCTCCTGGGCTGAGGACCACGAGAACGTGCACCCAACCCTTCCGAGCTTCACAGACAAGGGGTAAAGCGGAGCCAAGGAGTCAGGGCAGGGGCTTCAAGTGGGTGGATGTTGGCATGCCCCCCACACCTGCCAGGGGACCACCTGACATGCCAGGTCCCAAGGGAATGGAGGAGTCGCCCGGCCCCACGCTGCGTGGGGGTCTGTGTAGCCGAGACATTGAAGTGTTGGATTCCACTCTGTTGTTTAACAGCGGCGACGGGCTCGGGCATAGCAGGATCGTGGAGCTGGCGTGGGACTGAGCGGCGTCTCATTCTGCTGTGCACGGGGTCGCTATGAGTCAGAGCTGACTCGATGACACCCAACAATAGCAACAGCACTTGTAGGTTACCGTGAACCCGCGGGGAGGCGGTGGCCCCCTGTGAGACTGCATGTGGCGGCAGGAAGTCTGTTCCTCGAGAACTGTGTCGGCCTTGCTTGCAGCTACCGCTGGTTTCAGATGGAAGACTGTGTTCTGAGAAGTTGGGCTAAAGAAGCGTTTTAATGCCCTGGTTTTGAAAGTTGCTGTTTTTTCAAATGAAAAGATGGTCTGTGTGAGTGGAAACCGTAGGCTATGCATGAGCGGGTGCATGTGTGTGCGTGTGTGCACGCGAGTGAGCATTCCTGGGCGTGTGCTTGTAGGAGTGTGTGTGTTCTTGGGCATGTATGCGTGTGTATATGTCTATGTGTTCAGATGTCTGTGTGTGTGTGTTTCCCTGGGTGTGTCTGAGTGTGTGCATGTGGAGGTGTGTGTGTTCCTGAGTGTGATCCTCACGTGTGAATGTGTGTGTCTGAGTGTGTGCGTATGTGTGGAGGTGTGTGTGCATGTGTGCATGTGCATGTGGAGGTATGTGTGTATTCCTGAGTGTGATCCTCACATGTGAATGCGTGTGTCTGAGTATGTGTGCATACGTGTGGAGGGGTGTGTGTGCATGTATGCGTGTGCATGTGGAGGGGTGTGTGTTCCTGGCTGTGATCCTCACGCGTGAATGCATGTGTCTGAGTGTATGTGCGTCTGTGTGGAAGGGTGTGTGTGTGCGTGTGCATGTGGAGGTGTGTGCATTCCTGAGTGTGATCCTCACGTGTGTATGTGTGTATTCCTGGGAGTGTATGTGAGCCAGTGTCAGCGTGTGCATGAATCCACTTGTGTGTGTGCATGCATGGGTGTGCCTGAGTGTGTGCCTGACTGCGTGTGTGTGTGTGTAGAGATGTGCATCTCACTCTAGAGCCCCACACGGCCCCTCCATCCCGCAGTGGTCTGCTCTCTGGGCACAATTCTGCACCCCCTGTCTCACCCCACTACCCCTTCATCCTTGCCACCTGCCACAAGGGCCCTGGACTTTCCTGCTTTTGCCTGAGAAAGCCTGCCTCCAATACCATCTGGGCTAGCTTTGAGCCAGGTGTTCACTGTGCCTCCGCTAACAATGGCTGTGGGTGGGGTCACCTGGGGCCTGCCCAGGTGCGACCACACCTCACCCGGTGCCCATGTGAAGGGCGTGGCTGGGGCCTGTGCTCCCCTGGCCGGTGGGCTCAGGGAGTCTCCTAGTCTGCCCGGATTAGCCAGCCAGGGAGGAGGCCAGGCCTGCACCAGCATGCGTGTGCTGTGTATGAAAATCCTGGCAGAGACTTCCCACGGTCAGGACTCTGGACCCCCAACCCGCTCGGCGAGTCACCGACATCCAGGGCACAACCAGGAGCAGCCGCTCACACTGGGGGAACCTGAGTCACCTGCAACGACAGGGTGACTTGCAGTCAAGTACTCTTCCCATTTTCCAGATGAAGAAGTGAGGCTTAGCAAGGCAAGCCTGCCAGGGCATGGAGTCCGAGGGTAGGGCAGCCACGTCTCAGCCGCCCAGTGCTGGCAGCTCCTGGGTTAGCAGATGGTCCCTAGAGAATGGGGGGGGGGGGGATGCAGGCTGGTTTGACCCTCCCACCTGCCTGTGCACACGTACACAGAGGGGATGCTGGGGTGGGGCTGCGGCCCCCCTGAGCAGTCACCTGGACACCTGCGGGTGGCGGGATAATACCTGAGACACCAGAAACCCCCGAAAGGAAGTGGGGTTTGCAGCAGGCAGTGTGGGAGCTGGTGTGCTGCACCACCTCCTGACCCTGAGGACGCCTGGCCTGGGGGCTCTGCTCTCGGCAGACTCCCTGCAGGCAGCCGGGCGCCCCACCCAGCCCCTAGCCCCCTCCGGAGATGAGTTCTAGTGCTGTCCCTTGTCCCAGGACGGCGGGTGCTGGCTGCGTCCCAGCGATGTCCTGGCCCAGACGGCCCTGTCTCTGCTGCTCCCTCACCACGCCCAAGGCCAAGTGCGAGGCCTGCCGTCCCGGGATGACGGGAAGCTCCCAGGCCCCTACTCACCTCTGCATTGGCTGCACCTCCCTCCTTCACCAGCCAGCTGCTGCGGAGGCCATGCCCACCCACGGCGCCCCGCGTGCTCAGAGTGGAACTGGGCGGTATGGGTCTTTTAGAAGGAGATTGCCAGGCCTTCCCAGGTGCCTGTGTGTGGACTGGAACCTCCAGCCTTTCAGAGAGCACCTGAGTGCCCAGAAACCCCTACCTCCTCCAGAGAACCCCAAATCCCTGGAGTCCTCAGGGTGGAGGGCACAGCCTGGAGCCCCTGCTTCACTGCTGAGGGGACACTGGTGGCAGCAGTGGTCCAGGCACAAAGAAGAAACACTGAGACCCTCCACTCTTGCGCCTGGGCCCACCCTCCTTGGCATGAGGCCCAGAGTAGGCAGAGGCTGGAGACAGGTGCCCACTGCCACTGAGGAGACGCTTGTGGGCCTGGAGGGGACCCTGGAGATGCTGGTCTGCGGCTACGCCATGTATTCCCATCTCCCCATCTGCCCAGCCACGGCTCATCAGGAAGGCAAGGACAAGCGGCCGAGGGGCAGGGCTGCCCACTGAGCCTGAGCTGGTTGCCGTGTTCGGCAGCTGGTGGAGGGAGCCAGGTAGCGGCCTCAGAGGATGTGAGCCGCTCCCAGTGGAAGGCAGAGGAAGGGGACTGAAAGGCAGCCTGGCCAGTGTGAAGCCAAAGACGGGGACCCCCACCGTCCACCCCAGCCCTAGCCCCGGTGCGGCGGGTCTCTGTCACCGCCATGGGTGACCAGCTTGGGTGACTGAGCCTCAGCTTCTGGGCGCAGCCTTTGAACCCTCAGTGGCCTCCAGCCTCCGCGGGGTTTGAAGGACTCAGGAAGGTGAACAAGCTAGAATTAGCACACACACCCTCATCAGAGGGCACCCTGCACATTCCAGGGTCTGCTGGATATAGCCCCACACTGACCTGCCGCCCTCGCCCTCTGGGAATGCGATGGCTCAGATATCACAGCGGCCCACACCTGTGCCTGAGAGCCACCCAGGGTCTGCGTCCATGGCTGGGGATGGTACCTGGACGAGGGGCTTCTGGGTGGGAAAAGGACCACATGAGTGTTGGGCTCAAAACACCTGGTTCGAAGGCAGCCCCAACCACTTTTATTGCTTCCACATGGGTCAGGATACACTTGCAGCCATGCGGTCAGCCCCTGCCTCTCTCCAACATCAGTCTCCCTGCCTGTCAAATGGGGCTCCCATAGTGGTCCTTGGGATGTGCTGAGATGCCAAGCCATGAGAGAACAGGGGACAGGACTGCACTGCTCTCCCCAACACGAGCCTCCCCCAGGTCGCCATTCCACAGCACTCGTGTTTCAAGGGCTGGGGACCCTGGCCTCAAAATTGAGGAACAAATGGAAAGTCCCACAGAGGCAAAAGGGATGTTGATGGCCAGCTAGGAAAAGCTTGGTCCAGCTGTTTCCAAGACAGAAATTTTGAGGGTTCATTTGTTATTGCTGATGAAATAAATATGTTTATCAGATTTTGTGTAGTTCAGGAAATGCATTGTAATTCTACAGACATATATCTTTCCATCTCCCCACCCATCTCTCCATCCATCCATCTCTCCATCTATCCATTCACCCACCCATCTATCCATCCATCATCTATCCTTCCAAACATCCAGCCACCCATCTATCCATCCAATCACACATCCATCCATTCACCCACCCATCTATCCATCCATCAATCTGGTCCACTATCTGCTATCCATCTACCTACCCACTCACTCATCTGCCTATACATACATACATACACACCCATCCATCCACCCACCCATCAACTCATCCATCCACCCTCCCATCTATCTACATATGCATGCATACATACATACATCCACCCATCCACCCATCCACCCATCTACCCATCCATCCACCCATCCATCCACCCACACATCCATGCACCCATCCATCCACCCACCCATCCATCCACCCACCCATCCATCCATCCATCCTATCCATCCATCCATCCACCCACACACCCATCCACCCACCCATCCATCCACCCACCCATCAACTCATCCATCCACCCTCCCATCT